GGGGGGCTGGAGTAGACAAAATGTGGTCCAATCATCACTAATAGAACCTCTATACAGGAACAATGTTATCATCATTTAATGCTCGATTTCACCTTACTCACTAATATAGGGACTCATTTTCCTGGCAGAGCCTTGAGTAGACTCACAGGCATTACAAAAATGTGGTCCGATTATAAGTAATAGAACCGATATATAATAACTACAACAATTATTCAATGCTCGATTTCATGTTGTTTATCAACTTCAGATGAGTTTGACCCTTGCATCCAGATTCAAGATGAGTATGGATGCAAGGGTCAAAATTCTATGTAATAAAATGTGGTCTACACGATTCCGTCGATCAGATGGAATCGTAGACCTAGGGTAAGGTAACCCTAGGTGCAATTCAATGCTAATTTAGTTATTTTTTTTCACATTATATTATATGTGTTGTTTGCAAACAAGTTACGCAATAATAGGCTAGTTGACAAGTTCTTAAAACGTTTATTCGTTATTTTTTCGTGTATAGTGACTTTAAAAAGTTGGATATTTAGAATACTGTTACGTAACGGCTTTCTTTAAATAGTCTTATGTATTCCCAAGTTACGCAACAATTGTTTAAAAAAATCTTCACGAAAACATTCGGCTAGCACATATAAGAAATATTGATAGTAAATAATTATAAAATGCGGCAACGTCCAATCGTTTAAATGATTGATCTGTATTTAATTCGTTGAATGCTACTGTAGTTAACCCACAAAATCATTAGGTGTCAAGTGTTAAATTTTATTTGACGTCGGGCATTGTGTTAAACACAAATTTACACAAATTATTATCATTTATAATATTTGAATATTGTATAGTAAGAGCTAAACTTATCGTGTTAAATCAAAGTCAAACACTGTTTTATTTATTTACGAGAGTCATGTGTAATGCCATATTTTTTACTTACAACTTTATGTCACTCGTTTAAGGCATCTTTTGGTTGTGGAGACGAATGAAAATAATTCAATTATTTAGGTTAACAGCTTTTGCAACCGTCGAATTAAAAATGACAATCTTCATGTAAACAACAAACACCGCTCTGAATGCACGCATCAAAACTGTGGTTATTATTATCATATCTCTGAGGCAGCTGTTGGTATAGTTTCTGGATTCTATTTCATACAGCGATGTTAATCTGGTACATATAATCTTAACGGTGAGTGCTGGCGCCCAACACATCAAGCTTAATACAGCTTGTTTCGAAAGCGCTTCTACGCCGGTTTATTTTGATTCTGCCTTTATATAATGTGCCTATCTGTACTGGCGTGCAACTCGTCTAATTTGTATGCGATGCATTTCCATATATATATATTATATATATATATATATATTATATTATGGGATCTATCCGATCTATCCCTATAATAATCCTTACGGATTATTATAATTTGATGTACTTAAATTGGCTTTCTTGCTTTTATCGTTCTTCTCGTGTTCTTTTCTTTAAATTATCCACAAGCAACATGTGTAGCAAAAGAAACTGACTTGTCATATTTTAAAATTTTAAAACAATGTAAAGAAATATTTATATGTCCTGATATTTATCCTTGCATATATAATCAATATCAATTTTACAATTGCTCATACAAGAACTATTGATATGATGATCTGCTGGATAGAAAAGTTAGATATAACAATAGCAATCACATTTTTTTTAAACTTGATACATAAATTGTTTTCTTGCACATTGAACCCAAGCAATGAGGATCATTGCTAGGTCAGCAAATCAACTCAAAATCAACAGTATAATGATGTACTTTTTAAATCATCGAAATCAGTTCTTTCGTTGCGATTTTATAACTAATTTTATGGTTGCTAATATTCACCGGAAGCCGAAACTTGTAACGTCACAGAGCTCGATCGTGGTTCTCCGGTCGAACTTCAGTAGCTTCTCTACGCACGCAAGAGCTCTGTGACGTCACAGCCACAACGCGGCCAGCCGCAAATTCGTTTAGTATTTTACTCATAACTTCGTCAATATTTGTTATAGAACAAAAATTTTACCACTGTATTTTATGGAATCCTTAGCTCTATAACTCTGCATTCTCAACGAAAATCGTTACGGATCCTCATTGCACTTTATACCCTCTAATAGTAAAAAATACCAGTATAAAAATATTTTGTTGAATATTCGTTTCTATTAGGACACTAATAATTTAAATGAATTATTTTTGAACCAACATTTTAGGATTATGACTTAAACTAGAAGAGTTAGTTAGATTGGTCGATATATTAATATTTATTATGTGTATAGTGTAGTGCCACGTCCACAAGGACTTTCACATAAAGGGTTCCGGCCGTACCGTATCTTCTTCTTTGTCATTACACTCTTGGCAGAGCGGTCGTGGCCCTTAGCGTCATCAGCGGATTCAGTGGCGGTGACCCGCCGCACAAAGCGATGCCATTTTTACCGCATAGAAGATTTTAACATTAGGAATACAGCAATTGCCCAAATTTCACATTGGCAATAAACACACTAAAAAAATGTACTGCCTCCCTATTACAGTTGATGTACAGCCAGTCCGCTGGCACACAGACAGACAGCGGAGGCTTCGCAATTGGGTTCCGTTGCCATCGTTTGGATTCGCAACCCTAAAAATATCATTTCTAAACCTTGTTAAGATCATTCACGTATCACGTGCGTGCGCATCTCATTACGGACCTTTATGTGACTCTTGACGAACGTTAATTTTAGAAAAACTGTAATCTCTTAGTGATTCAAATTATTACAATATTATCATCACATAATGAAATGCATTTGTCACGTACTTTAAACATCCCACACCGGTATAGATAATGACCAAACATCATATGTGCTGTTTTAAAACCATATTTAATAATATTTTTACACAGCATGAAAATGATAATTTAATAAAATGAAAAATTTTTTTTAAACAAAAAATAAAAATTGACTTAAAAATCGTAAATGAACTAAAAAGAAGTCTGTTAAAAATGCATTATTTTTTTGCATAATTATGTTAAAAGTAACAACTTTTAACTACTAACTTTCTATTTGAGTATCAGTCAATCCAAATTTTAAACACATTTTTTTATTTCTTAACCGATTCATGGTTATGCGATGCGATCACAACACTAACAAACTTTCTCTTCATTTAACAAAAAAATGTGATATCTTCGATTTTCTGTCATTGTGATTTTGCTATCGTTCTGTGTTCAATATATTTAGGGTGGACTTTCTAAAATTTATTCGAAATTGATGAATAGTTACCTTATTACCACAAATAAATTAGACATGCGTTCAACACGAGTTTATGAAGAAAAAATGTCACACAAAATTTTCCTAAACAAGGTTTGAAACCGTGTCTTAACTTTTTTGTAGTAAGACTATTGATTTGATTGTTAAATAAACAATCAACTATTTCTAAAGTGTTAAATGTAAAGTGTAAGTGTAAAATCAAATGTTATACAAGTAGAAGAGTTTTTATTGTAATTTGTTTTAAGCATTTAATTGGTTCGAGGCTAGGTATTCGATAGATCAGTTGCATAAAGTCCGACGGCTCAATTGTAGTGTCAAGGTCGCTGCAAGCCGCTTTTGTGTATTTTAAACTTAAACTATTATACTGTGGTCACGCATCCTTTAATACCTTACTATTACTATATTTAAGCAAAATCTCATATCTATTGTTATCTTAAAAAGATTTATGCCATAGCAATATTGCAGATACTTTTTACGATTAGTGAGTCTCCTTTTATGAACAGTCTACTGTGATCATGTTAATATTGAGCATTGTTTTTGTAGCATAACCAGTCTATGCACGTCTTACGACGTACCTATATACATATTTACTTCGGTCGTGCTTTCGGTGTCTTTATACTATCTAAATAGTATGTTATCGATAATAAGACGTTGTTGATTTTATTGATCACAAAACGTTTTCGCGGTCGGACGCGCACATGCTGACACGGCGTTATCGATGTGTTGACTAATTGCTTACATTAGTCACGGCGAGGCTGGCACTCGCATCGTGTACGCAAATAGAGTCGGCACAACGATTGACTTAGCGCACGTTGCCCGATTACAGCGCCCCGCATCTGTAGACGCAATGGGCTAACACGGATTCCTAAGAATATGGAGATTATATTGATTAGTCGCTTTTTACTGACACAAAAAGACAATTGGTTACGGAAGACTGGCAAACGTTCATTACGTCGCTGCTACGTAGTGAGGTCATTGTACAGGTCACGCTACCGACGTGGCCCAATGACCGTCCACGACGGCAACAAGAAATATATGCCGGCTTAACGTGGGCAATGTGAAATATTGCGAAAATAAAACATTGTCAACCATGCTTTATATTACTTACTTACCTAGGCACATTGATGTTATCAATACGTAATTTTTATCTCGTCACTATTTTTATAACATGGCTTTATCAATGCAATCAAATGAATAATGATGCAGACATCCATCTCTATTGATTATATTCTCAACCTAACCATCGTTAATATACTGCTATCAAATTGAATGCGTCCTAAATCAAATTCATAGATAAATGTTAATCTTTAATCGCTATTGTTTGTCCAAAGCAAACAAAACTCGATAACGACCATGATAAAACAAAGAAAAGACTTACTTACAGAAAAAATATACATTCAGAACAGAGTTCTTTGTGTACGATTAGGCGGCGGCTAAGACTTGTTTGCAGATCGCGGATAGTATAGTGCGTAGAACGAAACCTGTTGGCGAGCAGTGATAACGTAAGGACAAATTGTAATAACAGCGGTGCGCAAGCTCACGGCATCTTAGTATTTGACGTCACTAGGCTCGGTGTCCAACTATTCGAGTTCGCATCGAGAGCCCACCAGCTAGCACTCCGCCACCGCCTAATGTATTTATGTACGGTCGTAACGGCCGAGATAAATCGCATGCCTGCTCTGACTGTTTTATCGTCTGTTACATTCACTCCTTTGATGTTTTACTCAAAATTCTAATTATGGTTCTTTTCTCTTGACAGAACTGCCAACGGAAGAAGGTAAGAATCGGCGATCGCTGTTGGATAAGTATCTATACTCTGACCTAAATGTTCTTCTTCTATATTAGTATGAGTATAATTAATAAAACAATATTTGGTTACTTAAATAAAACTTACATAAACATAAGATTTTAAATGCCACAGAGCATGTCAAGGTCACAAGTGGAATTGTGTTACATATGCACAAGTAGTATGTGACGTATTTTGACAGTGTTATCTGGTATTGTTAGCCGCTTTATGAAGCATTGTTTTTTTCTGTATTTAATAATCTTGTCACGTAAACCACCCATTATTATAGTTAACTATATAAATATTGAATATGTTTGAAACTTAAAGCAGATGCTGTGTGTATCCTAGAAAAAAAATACAATTTTATTATCGAATTATGTCACAATATTGACTGAACATCGATATAAAATATATTTTATATGAACTTATGAACTTTATTATGAACGGCAAAAATCAAACTAATCTCTTCACTCTCCAGGACCTATCCAAATGTGCTTAAATAAATAAAGTATATTTTTACAGGCAAAAGTATATGGCAGTTAGTACTGGAACAATTCGATGACCTCTTAGTAAAGATTTTGCTGTTAGCCGCTATTATTTCTTTCGTAAGTGATAACTGTACTTTATTCAAAAAACTATATATATATATATATTAATAATATTGTAATTGACTGCATTAATATTATTATTTTCAGGTTTTAGCTTTATTTGAAGAACATGAAGACGCTTTCTCAGCGTTCGTAGAACCCTTTGTTATTTTACTAATTCTTATTGCTAACGCTGTTGTAGGAGTATGGCAGGTAATCATCATTCAAAACTTAAATAAAGTGAAGCATATTAATACACATAGAAAAAGAACTTAATGCAAACCTTTGACATTTTAGGAAAGAAACGCCGAATCCGCCATCGAAGCTTTAAAAGAATACGAACCCGAAATGGGTAAAGTAATAAGAGGAGATAAATCCGGCGTACAAAAAGTTAGAGCGAAAGAAATCGTTCCCGGGGACGTCGTGGAGGTGTCCGTCGGAGACAAAATTCCCGCCGATATCCGCCTAATCAAAATTTTCTCGACCACCATCCGTATTGACCAGTCCATCCTGACTGGTGAGTCTGTGTCTGTTATAAAGCACACAGACGCCATCCCTGACCCCCGCGCTGTGAACCAAGACAAGAAAAATATCCTTTTCTCTGGTACTAATGTTGCTGCTGGTAAAGCCCGTGGTATCGTTATCGGCACCGGCCTCAACACTGCCATTGGTAAAATCCGTACCGAAATGTCTGAGACTGAGGAGATTAAGACACCCTTGCAACAAAAACTCGATGAGTTCGGTGAGCAACTGTCTAAAGTTATCTCCGTTATCTGCGTTGCCGTATGGGCTATCAACATTGGGCACTTCAACGACCCCGCCCACGGAGGAAGCTGGATCAAAGGCGCCGTATATTACTTCAAAATCGCCGTCGCTTTGGCCGTCGCCGCCATTCCTGAAGGTCTGCCGGCTGTCATCACTACCTGTCTCGCTTTGGGCACCAGGAGAATGGCCAAGAAGAACGCTATTGTCAGATCTCTGCCTTCAGTAGAAACCCTCGGTTGCACATCCGTCATCTGCTCCGATAAGACTGGTACACTCACCACTAACCAGATGTCTGTATCTCGTATGTTCATCTTCGAAAAGATTGAAGGTGGCGACAGCAGCTTCCTTGAATTCGAAATCACCGGTTCCACATACGAACCCATCGGAGACGTTTACCTGAAAGGACAAAAAGTTAAGGCCTCTGAATTTGACGCTCTCCAAGAATTAGGCACCATTTGCATCATGTGCAATGACTCCGCTATCGACTTTAACGAATTCAAACAGGCTTTTGAGAAAGTCGGTGAGGCCACTGAGACTGCCCTTATCGTACTCGCTGAGAAGATGAACCCCTTCAACGTCCCCAAGACTGGTCTCGACCGCCGCTCGTCTGCCATCGTCGTACGTCAAGAAATTGAAACTAAATGGAAGAAAGAGTTCACCCTCGAGTTCTCTCGTGACAGGAAATCGATGTCCTCCTATTGCACACCTCTCAAGCCCTCCCGTCTCGGTACTGGACCCAAACTGTTCGTCAAGGGTGCCCCCGAAGGCGTATTAGAACGTTGCAGCCACGCTCGCGTCGGAACAACCAAAGTCCCTCTCAGCTCTTCCCTCAAGAACCGGATCCTGGATCTCACTCGCCAATATGGTACCGGTCGCGACACCCTGCGTTGCTTGGCCCTGGCTACCGCTGACAACCCAATGAAACCTGATGAAATGGACCTCGGAGATTCATCCAAATTCTACACTTATGAAGTCAACCTTACCTTCGTCGGTGTTGTGGGCATGTTGGACCCTCCCCGCAAGGAAGTTTTCGACTCCATTGTTCGTTGCCGCGCTGCTGGTATCCGCGTAATTGTCATCACTGGCGACAACAAGGCTACCGCTGAAGCTATCTGCAGGTAAGACTCAGACACACAATGCCACATGCGACTAGTCGCTACGATAAGGTGCGGGATACAATTTTCAAGTTCTCTTCAAAACTGTACTGCCTGCACCTCTGTTGCAACGCTTAGACAGACATTTACAATACGTTCAGATGATAGGCGTTTAACGCTTGCATTGGTTTGTGGTGTCTTTCAGTTGAGCGCGCGCTGTCGATGTGTCAGACATATTTTTAGAGATCGCTTGCTAGAATCTAATTTAAGAAAATGGAGAAGAATATTTTTATTAATGAAATAGAAAAACTTCTATTTTTATGGGATATGTCAAGCTCTACCTATTCCAAGAGTCGTGCGTGTAAAAACTTGTTCTCATATTCTACGAACAAATTGCTGTTTTCACGTCCATTCCCGAAAAATGTGCAATTAGAACTGAACAGTCGCAACGCACGCCATATTAACACTACAGAAAAACCTAACGCGCCCGCTACTTTGCCTAACGCCTGTCATCTAAATGTGCCCTTAATAACGATATTAAATACCCTAGATGCAACAACACGAACAAAATCATGGCCGAAACCTGTCCAAAAGGTACATGGAAGCTCCGTAAGATGATCGCGTTGTCAATCAACAATATAAGGCATTATTTAAACATTGAAAGTCACCTTGCATACCATTACCTAATGCAAACTGTATAAGCACTGCCGGATTTAGGGGAGGGCAATCGGGGCGAAAGCCCCGGGGCCTCCACAAACGGGGGGCCCCCACAATAGAGACTTCGGAAAAAAAATCTTTCAAATTCCAACTAGTAAACACTAGTAAACATCTTTTTGGTTCCGTTCGTTAACTCTAAGATTTAATTTCAGATAATTCTTGTTTCCGTTCATATTTATATGTGTTTATTCAATACTAAGGGAATCTACTTGGTTCACAATAAATTATTTATTGAAAAACTCGACTGAAAAAAAATTGATTACTTTATTTGGAAAATAATTTTGGCTCCGAGGCCTCTGGACCTCTAAATCTGGCCCTGTGTATAAGGTCTTAATAAAAATGCATGCATCCAAGAATTAAATCAGTTTATAGTAAGTATTACAACAAAATTTGCTTCAAATGCGTGAAATTAACAAATGTTTTAGTTTTATTTATTTATTTGATATTTATTTATGTGACCTGTCGAAAAACGACACTTTACGTACTATAAGTAATTTTTTACGGAGCTCTGCGGCATCTTGACTTTTCCATGGCCCGCGCGTGACTGTGAACCACTGTCAAGCACTTCTTGATTGGGACACATTTTGAGGGCACGTGGTGTATTTAGGGTATTTAATATCGTTGGCCCTTAAACGAGAGCTCTGCGTCTAGTATGCTTGCTGGTACTAGACGCAAAGCTCTCGTACAAAATCAAACGACAATGCTCATTTTACTTGTTGCTGTGACTAGACCAGTTCACGCTGGTGCTAAATGTGTTCTATTATATTGTTGCTACATAATATCAGAACCTTTAATGTACTTTTGATAATTCCCAGGCGTATCGGCGTGTTCGGCGAAGATGAGGACACGACCAACAAATCGTACTCCGGTCGCGAGTTCGACGACTTACCCGTGTCGGAGCAACGCGCCGCCTGCGCTAGGGCCCGCCTGTTTTCCCGCGTGGAGCCCGCGCACAAGTCCAAGATCGTTGAATTCCTGCAAAGCATGAACGAGATCTCCGCTATGGTAAGTTAACTGCGAATCTCTTACGCCCTTACTCGAGAGCAGACAATTAATTTTTGCAGTGCTGCCCCTCTTTTTTTGATAGTGGTAGAATAAGACCATTTCACTCTCAAAAGCATTAAATTTCTTTTTTTTTACGCAAGTAAACTGATTTGATCTCTCTCAGTGCAACCGATAACTAGTCATTTCAGTTCTGTGCACTGCGATTTTGTCATTATTTTCACTACTGAAAAGAATAATTTATTGTTTACAAGGTCGTTTAACTTTTACAAATTAGCATACAAATTACTATCTGAAAAAAGTTGTAAGAATTTTTCTGCTCTGGAAATTTTGTATACCGCAACATGAAATTAATAATACATATAAAGATTAGACTGCAATAAAAATACAGTGGAATAAATTAAGCTATATTTAACACTATTTCAAAAAATCTCGCAAATGGGAGACAACTGTATTATAGGATCTAAAAGCGGCAGGCATCCCACATATCTCACTGTACTCAAATGAAAACTTACTTCATCAAGCAACAAAGCGCCATAATCATACACTCACGAATTTAATACTCGCGGTGTGTTTACACAACGCGACTACCGTGCGAGCTTGAATGTTTACCATCATTTGGTAATGTTTATAAACTGCTGCGAAGCGTTTATTTACTATAACCTTATAGTACGCGAAGGGCACTAGTTCACCATTGAGTGGTTACTCAGACTGGTCACGGTATGATTGACAGTGAATGCAGTATACTTAAACTTATATGTATATTGCATTTTTCGCCTTGTCTGCCTCTATATTTAATCAATTCCCTAGTTCATCTATGACACTGACGCCACCAGTTACAATTTGGAATCTCTCTAGATTTGGGAAGGGAATCAAGATATCCCGTTACTTCATTTTGGCAACAGTTGTCTAATATTGACCATTGGTAGGATTCTACATAGAAATGTTATGTTTTACATTCCCCGATATTTCGTAGTAACCTCACAATCACGGAGTACACGAAATATTCGGAGACTCACAAAAAACAAGATACATGGTGGCAATTCCGTTAAGTCCTACAATGGTGAACTGGTGTCCTTCGCGTACACTTTTTAGTAAATAAGGTGAACGAACTCGCTAATTACTATATTAAAATGCCGACTATTTGTAAACTTGACGTCGGTCTGTCGCTTTCATTCCTTATAAAGTACTAGCGGAGTTAGTTAGAAATAAAGTTTTGACTTTCCTACCGTTTTATTATATGTATAGATAGATATAGATAGATAACGACAATCTGTTGTCATGTTTACAAATAGCAAACATTTTGATACATGAAAGTTTGAAACACCACATAGCTGACCATGTAGTGGTTCCCCAGACTGGTGACGGTGTGAATGACGCGCCCGCCCTGAAGAAGGCCGAGATCGGTATCGCCATGGGATCCGGCACCGCCGTCGCTAAGTCCGCCGCCGAGATGGTGCTCGCTGACGACAACTTCTCATCCATTGTCGCCGCCGTCGAGGAAGGTAGGAAACTCAACTAGAGTGCGACCAAGATCTTGTGGCTCTTTTAAACATTGACAGGAGGGCGCTGCTGGCAACGATATTAAATACCCTAGATACACCAACAAAATCGTGGCCGAAACCAGTCCAAAAAGTACATTCGACGATCCACGGAGCTTCGTAAGATTATCGCGTAGTCAAAAACAATATAAGGCATTGTTTAAACGTTAAAAGTCACCTTTAATGCATACTATATAAGGTCTTACTTAAAACGCATCCGTCTAAGAGTTATGAGAGTTCGAAATGGAAGCTCGTAAAATTTGACGAATTATTGCTATATGCGGAAGAATATAGACCTTATTTCTTTGACTGCGCGCAATTCTAAATGCGCTGTTAGCCATATAGCAGGTACGGACCGCGAGGAAAAGAGACAGCTATATAACCGACCATGCATTTGAATATCACAAATATTTTCTATTATATCAGAAGTGCGTTAAATTAACAAACATTTATTAGGTACCTGTCGAAAAAACGACACTACGTACTATAAGATTTTGTTTCGCATTTTTTCACAGAGCTCTGCGGCATCTTGACTTTTCAACGGTCCGCACGTGACTGTGAACCAAAAAGTGCTTGAGTGGTGTTCAAGCACTTCTTGATTGGGTAACATTTTGAGCGCTAGTGGTGTATCTAGGGTATTTAATATCGTTGGCTGCTGGTGAACAAGTGGTGAAATGGGGATAATACTAAGCACGTAATATCTCCTTACTAAAGGGAACGTTATAATTTATAATAACTGGAAATGAGTTATAAGAATGCACTTTTCTCTATAAATAAAAGTCTTAATACCTTCTTAAAATTAGTTCCAATTTAGGCCACGGTCCACAAGATCTTGGTCAAACTGTATGTTTACTTTTACGCACGTAGAGTGTATGTACTTGGCTGGGAGATAGGGAAAGGGAGTTGTACACTTAAATAAGGAAAGTAATTAGACCTTTTTGGCTTCATGCATCATCATCAGCCTTTTAAAGTCCAGAATGAAGGGGCACTTATGGATAAAATAGGACAACTAACTAGCAGTGAGAATTGGTAGGTGTTAAATACTGTAGATGTAGCTTCGATCTTTAGCACCCACTGTAGCCGTCTAGTACGCGAGTTGTCTAAGACTAACGTGCTTTCCGAAGCATGGAGCAGCTGGAGACAGTAAGTTTTTGGTCACCCATCCTATGACCGGCCATTACGAAAATTGCTTAAATTTCACGAGAACAGACCGAACCATTTGCACCATCTAGCTCTTCATACAGACATGTTCTTTATAAGTGACAAAATTTAATCATTTCTATAGCTCATATCTCTTTGACGCCACTAGTTCCAAATAATATTTATCAAACTATAGTGACATATTATCACTACCATTCTCGACAGCTGTTTTCTAAGCTAAACCATGGGTATGATTCTGCCTAAACCAATGTTAACCAAATATTTGTCAAAATCGACAACAGGTCGCGCCATCTACAACAACATGAAGCAGTTCATCCGCTACCTGATCTCTTCGAACATCGGTGAAGTGGTCTCCATCTTCTTGACCGCTGCTCTGGGTCTTCCCGAAGCCCTGATCCCCGTGCAACTGCTGTGGGTCAACCTGGTCACTGACGGTCTGCCTGCCACCGCCCTCGGCTTCAACCCCCCTGATCTCGACATCATGGACAAACCACCTCGCAAGGCTGACGAAGGCCTTATCTCTGGATGGCTGTTCTTCAGGTAGGGTTCTTTTGTTTTCGCTTTTTCTAACTGAGGTGAGGGGAGTTCATCCGCTACCTGATTTCTTCAATCCCACCAGATCTCGACATCATGGAGAACTGACGAAGGCCTCATCTCTGGATGGCTGGTCTTCAGGGACGGTTTCTTTTGTTTTCGTTTATTCCAACAGGGTTGAGGGTTCATCCGCTACAGAATTCCTCAACCCTCCACGATCTCGATATCATGGACAAAACACCCCGCAAGGCTGACGAAACCCTCATGTCTGGATAACTGTTCTTCAGATAGGGTTCTTTTTGTTTTAGCTTATTCCAACAGGGAGTGAGAGGAGTTCATCCGCTACCTGATTTCTTCTAACATCGGTGAAGTAGTCTCCATTTTCTTGACCGATTTTCGGGGCCTGCCTGAAGCCCTGATCCCCGTGCAATTGCTGTTGCGTAGTTAAACGAAAACGCTGGACCCAGTGGACGCCATATTGCTCTACGGTTTTGACGTCATTATCACTGTAAATTAATGCGTTACCTTGGTTACGAAAACATTAAAAGTACTAAATCAACAGCTGACACTTTGTCATATACTAGCGGTGTGACGTAATAATGTGGCAGCCACTACGTCTACTATTTCATCGTGTTTTAAAACAGATTTAAAAAACTGAAAACTTTCAATTGAATATTAAAATGCATTTTGTTATTTTATTAACTGAAACTAGCGTTTTCCGACTCCTCTTTGCCTGAACTATAGCAATTTTGGAAATATAAAAAAAATAGCAAGTTGAAGTGGCAGAGGGCTGGCCATATTTGCTGCAGATCCGATAACCGTTGGGATAGACGAGTTCTAGAGTGGAGACCGCGTCTAGGCAAACGTTGTGCAGCACGAGCTCAGGCACGGTGGAGTGACGATTTGCGCAAGGTGACTGGCAGGAGCTGGATGCGAGTAGCCCAAGATCGACATCAATGGCGAGCAATTGGAGAAGCCTATGTGCAGCAGTGGACTAATGTAGGCTGTTGATGAGACTTTTTCTCAAGTAGAGTGAAATATCCTATTGTTTTTGTTATGCAGGTACATGGCTATCGGTGGATACGTAGGCGCCGCGACAGTGGGCGCTGCATCGTGGTGGTTCATGTATTCTCCGTATGGGCCACAGATGACGTACTGGCAACTCACGCACCACCTGCAATGCCTCGGGGGCGGTGACGAGTTCAAGGTGAGTACGGTGTTAATGTCCATGCGTAGGGTAACCATTGAGGAATTTCAAAAGTCCTGACAAAAATCCTGAATTTTTAGTCACAAAATGGTACCATTCCTCACTTACTTACAATGGTATGGTATTTAAATCAATATTTACTTTTATTATTTATATTCAATGTAATTTAAAAATTCGGACAAAGTCCGGGGACTTGTCCGGACTAATCCGGACGGATGGTAACCCTATCCATACGTTACGAACTCACGAAAAGCTTTTATACTATGTCATGTTTACTTTTTCCTTAGTTTTGAAGGGGAAAGTGAACGAGGAGATGAAATAAGTAGTCAATAAGTCTTTGTCTTTCATTAAGTTACTAAGCGTCCAAATTCCACTGCCCATTAATTTTATGAATATTAAAGTTTGTCACTCAATCTTACTCAGTGGACTGCTAGAAATGTAGGGTAAGAAATTGTGAACGATTCAAAAGAGAAGACCGATACACTTTGATATATTCTAAATTGAAAATGCCTTCAATATCTAACGTGAGCTTGTTCCCAATTCCCCAGGGCGTCGATTGCAAGATCTTCACCGACCCTCACCCTATGACGATGGCGCTGTCCGTACTCGTAACCATCGAGATGTTGAACGCCATGAACAGCTTGTCGGAGAACCAGTCCCTCGTGTCTATGCCGCCCTGGTGCAACATGTGGCTCATCGGCTCCATGGCGCTCTCTTTCACGCTGCACTTCGTCATTCTATACGTCGAGGTTCTCTCGGTGAGTACATCCATACTGATCCATACCGTCGGTGACCATAGACACGCTGAACGCAATGACAAACCTGTCGGAGGCCCAATCTCTCGTGTCTATGCCGCCCTGGTGCAAAATGTGGCTCATCGGCTCCATGGCTTGTCCAAGTTTATATAATGAAAGATCAATAACATCTAAATTAAATAAAAATAAGGTCAAGTTGGTCCCTGCCTCGGCACAATGCCACAACGACACCAAGGCCGATGCGGCGCTAATATTCTGGCATGGCCTAAAGTTCGCGCGAATAAAAGTATTTATATAAATTACAGTTAAAATACCAAAAACAAAGAAAAAGAAAAGGCTGAGTTCATTTTATTCTCTTTGCCTTACTGTCTCTGCAATTAAATTTATTTAAAAAAAACCCAATAGTCTGTAGTCTGTGGAATTTTAAGAAGCGCATTTATTACATAGTTAATTTAAGGACTATAGTAGAAAATAAGCAAGAAACTTCATTGTCATATGTTTTAGAGAATTATCATCTTTTTTTATTATTCTGGTTATTTTTTTTTTTGATTGTTTTAGATTATTCTGGTTGAGTTTATGCTAAAAAAATTACGATGCTTGTGAAAAAATATTATTTATAAATGCTTTAAACCTAACATTTATATAGTCTAAGATAACCTTCACAATTTCTTGCATTCATTGACACATAAATAGTGACAAGGACTCGAGTCACCTTTCATTACAAAGTATCATCTCATATATTGACTTTGGTTATCACTGTAAAACTACAGTGATTTTCTTTCAGTTTATTGCACTGGCTTAACTTTGACTACCAGTGTTGTTTAAGTTTTTTTATATTACATCCTAGTTCAAAAAATTACTTGCAGGCCATAAAGATATTGTGCATTAGATAACCAACAGATGTTTAGCGCATGGTAAATACAGGGCACACTAAAATAAAATGCATGACAACTATGCATAACAAAACAACTAAAGCCCGTTCTCAAGCACTATTTTTCCATTGTAACAGTAATCGATTTCCTGCCTATTCAGACCACAGCTGGGGCACGAGCTTTCGCTAAACTCGGAATAGGGAGATCAGGCCATGAAAGAGTACATATTTTGTTTGTCAATGTATTTTTTTTATATATTACTAGTGTGTGCCCGCTACTTCGTCTGCGACGAAAAATTGGTCTCCCATACAAACTTTCACCCGCTTAAAGGGGGGACACAAACTATGTATGTCCTTCCCCAGTACTCAAACTATCTCTATACCAAATTTCATCTAAATTGGTTCAGCTGATTAATCGTGAAGAGGTAACAGACCGACAAAGAGTCACACTTTTGGATTTATAATATTAGTATGTGTTTGTGTTTTGTATGTTTGTCGATCAGAGAGTGTCTCGCTTAACCCTCGACCACTAAGCAATCGAGCTCCAAGTACCCTTAGCACAAACCAATATCGAATTCGAAATTCAACATTGGTTCGTGCTAAGAGTACATCACTCAATTGATTTCCCTTATAGTGCGATTCAAATAAGAATAGAGAAGCCAATGACCTCCATCTGTCAAACGTCGCTTGAAAAGTACACTTTGCAAAAAAAATCTTGTAAGACTTTTTTAGCACTGCTAATTCTAGAATAAAAACCAAACATTTGTAAACAAACTAACAAATATTGATAATTAATATTGTTTGCTGTTTTTTTTTCATTTATTTAGCTTTGGCTATGGCTGGTTGATAACCTAAATCGTCAACCAAATGTCACTTAAAGGAGCTAGATTCTGATTAATATTTTTCCTCACACAGTCATAATAAATAAGTTTTATTAAATAAAAACTTTTTTTTGCTCACTCTACCTATTTGGTTTGAATTGAGAGCTATGACGCCACAATATGGCGCCAAGTCGGTCCTATTCTTAGTTGAATCGCATTATACTAATAATACTCGACTCGACGACCTCCGTGGCCGAGTGGTTTGTACGCTGGGTTTCATGGTGTTGCCGACTCGAGAGGTCCCGGGTTCGAATCCCGGTGGGGCAGATGTTTGTGTGATGAATACGAGCATTTGTACTCCAGCCATGGATGTTATGTATTTCTATATAAATATACTTATATAGGTATAGTATATGTATTCTATCCGTTACCCTAGCATCCCATAACGCAAGCCTAACAGTTCTTACTTTGGGGCTAGGCTAATTGGAGTTAGTGTTGGAAATATTTATTACTAAAAAAAATCCTAACTACCTAAATTACACTAACAATACTTTTACCTAAACTCCAGGCCGTGTTCCAAGTGACGCCGCTGTCCGTTGACGAATGGGTAACCGTGATGAAGTTCTCCATCCCGGTGGTACTGCTCGACGAGGTGCTCAAGTTCGTCGCGCGCAAGATCTCCGACGGTGAGCGGCACTACCTCGACGGCATGCAATGGATTGTGCTCATGTGGGCCGTATTTTTCGGCCTTATCATCTACGGACCCCTCTAAACGAGGCCCAGTGCTCACCCCAGTTTGTTCCCGTAACAGGGATGGTGACGGGGTTCATTTGATTAGCGAAATTTACTTTTCGGACTTTAGGAGATTATTTTAAAAATAATGGACACTTTTTTTATTTTTTGCTCATGGCAATCTAATAATCTTTAAAATGACAAAGTGAAGCGCGTCAAAGTTTGTTAGTGCGGACTCATAACGTACGACTTCTAAGTAAAAAAAAATACCAACACGTTATGTCGACAGCGACATTTTAAATCAATATATCTTTGAAATGTTTTGATTGTGTGAATAAAGAAAGAATACGTGTCCATTACTTTTCGATAATCTACCTGATAAACGAAGAAAAAAAACAGTCATCATCCCTTTACCTGACCCCCCCATTTAAAGAATCTCGCCTTACCCACGTTTAGTTGTGAAAGAGAATAAAGCGTGGGTAGTGCAGATTCCGCCGTGGAAAAATTAAGGACTTTGAGCATCGGCTCACCACGGCCCCCTAACGGAATGCTAATCACGGTGTGAAGTGACTCTCATAGTGCACGGTGATGGACGAGCCACGGTACTTCCCCGACCCCGCTTCGTGTGATACCGTATTTTAATATTTTTTATCTAATTTGGTTTCACGTGCGAGACAATAATAATGAATGTGAGCTCGTTTCTTTAGAAATGTTTTTTGACGAGGACGAATGGTCTCCTTCTTATAGTGTTTCTCTCGTGTTTCTCATTGATTACTAGCTAGAAATGAAGCGGCTGTGAAGACCTTCATTGTATAGTGCTAACCTGTAACACCAAAAATTGGTTTTAATACAAAATTTTTATAATGGGTAACTTTAAAAAATAGTTATACAATTACTGTGTAATATTCGTTTACGAGTGATTTTTATAGATTTTGTATAAATATGGATAGTGCTCCGAGCTCCATTTTCACAAATAATGTTTTTGGTGGACTCGCACACGGCTCAGTACCTTGTCCCTTGTGGACAGCAGACATAAAATTTACTATTATAGTAATGTGCATTGTTAGTGCTTAGTGTAATTTATTGTAAGTATATTGTTAGGGAAACGGTTACGATTATTTTGCTCTGCAAACTTCTGAGTAGGAAAATAATACCGCTCTGTCCTTTCACCTGTGACCGCTTGTTAACATTCCTCTTTGCATTTCAATTTCTACCTGACAACAGCACTGTATGTTACCAACCTGCTCTTTTTCTAGCCTAACATATTATATTTTCATGCTATATTAACAAACAGGAATGTATGATCTTTAATTATATTTGTGATAAAATTTTATTACACAACGAAAGCTTATTCTTTTAGACATATTAACGTCCAATATCTTTCATATGTGAAAGGATATATATACAAGTTTCTATAAAGCAATATAGTCAATATATGTTCGAATGTCAGAATGTGTTAGTTTGGAATTGTTTAATTGTTTCTTGAATAAATTGATTTGATTTTTCTATTTCTCTCGCAATGGATGGTTATAATGTCAATAGTGTTATTGATGAGACATAATATTACCGTAAGTTTAGGGAAATTAATCGGAAATAAATACTGATTCTTTTTTTTGTTATGGTATACAAAGATTGTACTTCCATATGAATAATATGATTTACATATTTGCATGTGTTTTGTACATTGCATGTTTGATTTAAGGGTGCAGTTTGATTTTTTTGAACAACTAAAAAGAATAATCTCTAAAATATAATTGTCTTATATTTAATATAATGTGTACTACTACATTGTAAGACCGTCAACATTGACCAATATGCAAAGTTATACAACCACAACACACTGCACACGGAAGAAGGGCATGCTCAAAATCCTACATTACTTTTACCCCAACCTTTTCCAACCACGTTATGATAATGAAATAACTTATTTAAAATGTACAGTTGTTTATACATATTTTACATTAATTAAAAATGTCAAGAATTAAAGCTCGCAATTGTTTTTCTTGCAACCATCCTCACTAGAGCCCTTGTGACGTTGTTTGTTGCCCTCAGACATCGGAAACAGACCCCGCGTGACAGACACTACCCAATACCCACTCACACCCTTGAAACAGTTCTCCACAACCTAAACTGAATATTCGAGTGTTTCGTGTGTTTCCTACTAACCAATCTGGCTAACACCACTAAGCTCAAGTTTTGCAAGCTTCCGAAACGCTATTTGGCTATAATAAAACCAAGACTTGTTCTGCAAAAAGAAGTCTTAATTTGTTCTCTATTAAATTTGAATGGAATAACCTGTCGTTCCTGTTATGTTCCGATTAATATTTGCAAAACTTAGTATCGTCCCCGCATGGCAGGTACGGCCATGTGGCGCATGCACTAACGTGGTGTTGTCTGCCCCCAGCCAAGCCGACGTGGAAGCTGTAAGCGCCGGGCCCCGTCGCAGCGCCACTGCACGCACATATTCCATGAACACTCATTGTTTGTTGTGATCCCGCAGTGAAACTACACATTTAAGTAACTACGACACGGTTGTGATCTCTGCATAGTGAACTCTCAGTAAGTTCGGACGGCCGCCCCGCACGAGCGACCCGCCACTAACGCTCTCGTTGTTTTGCAGCGAACGAGATTGTCATTGACAAGTGGTAAACGCCACCGCGTCATATAGTTCCTCACCCGCTTCTCTGCTACTTCTACCGCTCTCGTCTCCGATAGTTAAACCCAGTTGGAATTTAGATTATCGTCGCTCGCTATGAGCGGCGCATGCTACGTGCTATGCTATACTAGAGTAGCCAGGCTACTCGTAAAGCCGCTAGAGCGCTGCAGTCGCGGCCGCTCGAGCGCTAGATGCGATGGGAGGCGCGAGAGGTCGGCGCGGCGGAGGCGGGCCGGGCGCCGCCCCGTCACCTGCTCACCTGTGCTAGTTCATCAGAGAGGACTTAACTTGTTCATAATGTGTATATAATACAGTATGCTTAGGAGGTTTAATCATTGTTAAATTACATTGTTCTAATTTAAAGACTACATGGTGCCCGTCGACAGAAGCAGTGCGGTAGACGATGTGTACTTAAGTTGAGAGCACTTTTAATTTATTGTTATATTTTTATTCTCTTTTATTCTAGTTTTGCTTAAATAGCGCCGAGTCCATTTATATTAGTGCTGACACCTCGACGAGCAATATGGTGTCTGTAATGTAAGGGAAGGATAAATATAATTGTCCAGTGTTTGGGACGAAATTGAGTCCAAAAATTTAAACATACCTGTACATTTTAATGTATTATTGTTTTGTACAATAAACCGTTATAAAACGATGGTTGTTTAATTTCTATTCATTTCTTGGGTAATGTGCCTACTTACGTAAGTAATATTGTTACCTTGGTTAAGTGCGTACGCTGCCATAAGCATGATCATGAAGCAGACTTCGGCTTCGCGTGCAGTTGCATAGAACTGCGCTGCGACAAATGAGGGCGAGGGGCCTGTGCAGTTCAAACACTACAAGACATACTAAATAATTATGGCGATCTTAATTAACTGTAACAGTTTCATTTGCACAAACTAAAAGAATTTTTACGCAGCTTAAAATAAAATGTCTGCATCGGAATTTTCCGGTATTTTTTTAAATGCTGTTTATGTCTTTAAATATTTGGTTCCTTGCTTCTTTCGCTTACCTATGCTTACCTACCTATTTATTGACAGTTTATTTCAATGATGTTAGGTAACGTAAGCTCTCTTCTGTACTTGTAATTTAATTAGATGCACCTGTTAGAAATGAAATGGTAGGACAGGACAGGCAGCAAGGGCGGATCCAGGGGGGGTTCATGATCCCCCCCCCCTGGGCTGGGATGGACCAAACCCAGGGGGATTTTATTTAAGTACTTTCAATATTATCCTGAGTCATGTATACAAGTTGTTTTCGAGAGTCCTCACGAATCGTCTCGCGCGCAGGTTTGACGACTTCCAGCCTCCCGAACAAGCCACTATGTCAGTTCGACTCCAGGACCAAAACACGAAGCCAATCCAGCTGCAGCGTGGTGTAAGACAGGGTGACGTTATATCACCGAAACTGTTTACAGCTGCGCTGGAAGACGTTTTCAAACTTTTGGACTGGAGCGGACTTGGCATCAACATAAACGGCGAGTACATGACGCACCTTCGATTTGCAGATGATATCGTAGTCATGGCTGAGACCATGGATGACCCTGGCACAATGCTCGGCGACCTCAGTAGGGTGTCCCAACAAGTGGGTCTCAAAATGAACATGGACAAGACGAAAATCATGTCGAATTCCCATGTCGTACCCACTCCAGTGACTGTTGGGAGCTCTACACTGGAAGTTGTTGACCAGTACGTATACCTGGGACAAATAGTCCAACTGGGTAAGTCCAACTTCCAGAAAGAGGTTAATCGACGAATCCAACTCGGCTGGGCAGCGTTCGGGAAGCTACGTAGCATCTTCTCGGAACATCTACCGCAGTGCCTCAAGACGAAAGTCTTCAATTCGTGCGTGTTGCCAGTGATGACATACGGAACCGAGACGTGGCCGCTTACAATGGGTCTTGTAAGAAGGCTCAAAGTCACCCAAAGGGCAATGGAGAGGGCTATGCTCGGAGTTTCTCTGCGTGATCGAATCAGAAATGAGGAGATACGCAAGAGAACTAAAGTCACCGACATAGCCCACAGAATTGCAAACCTTAAGTGGCAATGGGCAGGGCACATTGCTCGCAGGACCGATGGCCGTTGGGGCGGAAAGGTCCTCGAGTGGCGACCGCGTACCGGGAGACGCAGTGTTGGCAGGCCCCCCACAAGGTGGACCGACGATCTGGTAAAGGTCGCGGGAAGCCGCTGGATGCGGGCAGCATGGGACCGATCGTTGTGGAAATCTATGGGGGAGGCCTATGTCCAACAGTGGACGTCTTTCGGCTGAAATGATGATGATGATGATGACTTTCAATATTTAATATACCACGACTATATGACCCCCCCCCCCCCCCCCCCCCCGGCGCCAAAGCTGGATCCGCCCTTGACAGGCAGGAGGGCTCATATTCATAATTAGCCTAGGGCGGTCAGAACTCTAAATCAGGCGCTGCTGAAACGTTTCCGAGATCCGACTGGTTCGGAGGCTGGAATCGATTAGCGGGCGATTCATAATGACTCTCTAAAACATCTTGTAAATGTGGCTTTTTGTTCTTCAATAGGGTGTTGTCATCTTTTTAAAGCTAAATTGGTACTTATAATACAGTGTTCAATCGCTTTAAAAACAATTTCTGTAAGCTTCAATAGAATGGGCAATAAACCGAAGTGTCTACAGGAAGATGCAGCTTCGGGAACTTTTCTATTGAGGACCATTTTTATTTGTGCTACTTTTTTTTTTTAATTTTAATAACATGAGTGCCACTGTCACAATTAAGAAGAATCTAACTACAGATCTCAAGCCAAAATCTAACAAACCAAGGCCCACAGAGCATGCCTTTTATATACACTTCAAACATGACTCCTTTCGGTGAAGTCGAGTAAAAAAGTAACAAGATTCAGCTAAAAGATATCCTGGATGGGTGGTAGATATGTGGTAAGAAAAAAATGTTAGACAATTCAAAAATAAATTTGATATGAATAGGTACATTCAATAATAATTTCATTTACTGCCGTGGGATGGAATGTAAGCGAATTTTTGCAACGAAATTGGCATAGAATAATAAACTTTATGTAAACTGTATACAGTATAATACTTCTATACAATATAATAATTTGTAATCTGAGAATTTAACATACAAATTAAATACGAGTTAAATGCTAGGGAAAATCTCAAGAATGCGCGGGAGATTCCGCAGAAGAGGCGCATCCATTTTTGCCTCATATTTAGTTGAAATCCCTTCCATTCCATTCCGGTGCGCGACGCTATAAATTGAGTCCCAATGTGGTACAAAATGTTTGTAAACATTTTAAAGGTATTGTAAGGGGAGCAACGTTACTGAAAATCAATCATTTATTTATGTCACATGAAAATAGTTTGTGGTGTACCACTTGTGGTTTACAATATATATGGTGTCGATTCTAGCATGATTCTCTAAACCTAAACTTAAATTAGACAGCAGTATATCCTTGTCATTCTCTATGCAGAATGAAAAAGAGAGACTGATGTTAAATTTAGTTTTAAGTTTAGAGAATCACGCCAGAATTGGCCAGTATAGTGTTATGAGAGACTGGTGCCTGAATTAGGTTTCAGTGAAACCTTTGAAAAAAAATCGAGGCACAGTAGACAGTGCTCACCAGCAGGTGCATGATCAAAAGTACTTTTAATATTTTGTAGTAACCAGTGTCCTCAAAGTGCGTGCCGGGATCGGTTCCCGGTTCAAGAGGATTGTTTTTGTATTTATTGTAATCCCGGTATTTCGATGGCTCCATCGAAATACCGGGGGCTCCCCCAGCGTTACCCGTTTACTCCCAGCAGTGCCAGTGGAGTAGTTTAAATGAACTATGCGTCTGAGTATCACACGAGAATACTGGGAATCGGAATTCCAATAATCCAGTCTTTGGAACTAATAGTGACGACTGATACTTTCAGTCCCATCATGGGGCTACTCTAAAAAAAAATACCCAACTACAGCGCTACTTGCAGGGTAGACTTGTAAGCTATCAGGTTCGGCATGAAAATGAAAGATGGACTGAAATGAATAAATTATCCAAAAATGGAGGCTGTCTAATAAAGGCAGAAATATATTTATCTGTTATGTTGTGTTTGTGACACCTCGGAGATGTATCGGTTTCATACATTTACCCACAGACTATTTAGATACTACGTACATTTACCATTTAGAACGGTTAGAGTGAGAACGGTGTCGACTATAGATGTAAAACAACCCATAGACTGAAACAACCGATTTAAAACGTTTTAAACAAAATGTTGCCGTTTTAAACCCCAAATAAATCGTTTTAAACTGTTGAAAACTGGCATACAAAAATAAAAGAACTATGTTTTTTACACTTCATTATGGTAAATTTTTGGTCACCTGACGTCATGTTTATGTTGCAGTTTATATGCATGTGTGTGTAGGGTAGGCGAGCTGGCAAAGTTTGCGTCGAGCACAGACTAGTTAGAGGCGTCGAGTAATGACGAGTGACGTCAACGAGAGTGCGAGAGTGTGAGTTTGGTTTTAAACCGAATCAAATTGATTGAATTGATTTATATCATTTGAAAACAATGAAATTTTTTTTATTTACCAACACAGAGTTTTTAACTTATGATAACTTAGATCATATAAATGCTCTTAGTATGATAAGAGTTTTTATAACTTAGGTAGGTATACCTATCTAAAGAAAAGTTTAGTAGAAAAAAAATCCACGCGGACCAGGCAGCGGACGGGACTCGAACCCGCATCCTTCGCTATCCGGGCGAATGCACTGACCATTATGCTACCACGGTCCTATTAGCCGCGTCGAAATTTTCCTAGCCTTAAGCTGCAGGGCAGCGCCATCTCTTCACATTGTAGGTAACCCACAATGTCAAATGAATACTTTTTCAAGTATTTAACATTTGAAAGAAGAAATAGCAATTTTATTTATGATTTTATTTATTTTTTTAAGCATTTAACTGCTAGATGTTTAAATTTAAAGAAAAGTTTACTAGAAAAAAAACGTACGATACGCGTGACCTAAGTTGCCTATTACTGCACGGCGTGAAGTTAGCGCCCGAGCGGAGCGAGGGTGCTAAACGCCGTGCAGTAATAGACAACTTAGGCCACAAGTATCGTATACTATTTTATAGCAAGTGTAACATAAACCCGCCCGGACGCGGGCAAGAGGGGGAAGTTCGGGGGGGGCGGAGGCCCCCCCGAGGGATGCGATTAGTGTTTTGAAAGTAACATTCATGTATTGCAATCACAAAGAATTGCAATACAGACTGCAAGTCAAACTCTGAAAAGAAAGAATTCCGGTTCAGATTACCATTTTGAAAGTATATTTCAAAAGGAAAAAATCAAATATCATTACAACAAAATAGAATTTCAATGTATCCGTGAACGTTTCCTTGATTGGCATAGTAAAGTTACGCGTATCGTATGTACTAATTCTACATGAGTGAAGTTGGTCAATTCATTTACACACCGTGCAGAAATAGGCAACTTAGGTCACGGAAAAGCGTGCGTAAAGTGCGGGTTTAGGTCACACTGTGCTATAATAGTACATTACGATACGCGTGACCTAAGTTGCCTATTACTGCACGGCGTGAAGTTAGCGCCCGAGCGGAGCGAGGGTGCTAAACGCCGTGCAATAATAGACAACTTAGGCCACAAGTATCGTATACTATTTTATAGCAAGTGTGACATAAACCCGCCCCGGACAAAACGAAAAAACGAATTCGATTTATTCTCTTGTCGCCATTTTTTAAATGCATCATACGCTGCTGTATACAGCCGTTTCGATTTTTGGGGCAACAAATTCAATGTCACCGACTTCGCCACTTTTTTAATTGCGTCCGGAACAATTTCACCGTTCTCGTATTCGTTTAGGTCACTATCCGAACTGGCCATTTGCACTCGCACGAACCTATACCGGTTGGGTAAGTTTTTTTTTTACTAGCTAAGCATACAAGTCGAAATGCAGTTATCGTAGATAAAGATGCTCCAATTGTAATGATAAATATGACTTTTTTTAATGTTTTTATTTTAGGTTCGTTGTAACGGTTATTTTAAATGAATTATTTTTAATTTATTGATAAAGTGACTTTTTATATGGTTCCAAAAGTTATCAAAAACTTATATTATAAACATTCAATTTTCATCATCGTATTCTATGATCTCGAAGACCGGAACTCCACCAAACCCATCAACATCATCAGTAGCTTCTTCAGAACTTTGAAGCGTTCTATGAAATTGAAGGCAATCCTCAGGTATGTAGTGGTACATGGATTGTAAGTCCACTAATTTCGCTGGAGCAATCGGTTTGCCATTAGGCCACAATAAACAAAAATCAGATTCTTTTATGTATTGCAGTTCTCGCTTTATTCTTTTATCAATTTTCAACTCATTGAAATCGTCTTCCATCTATATATCTGCCTTAACTCTAGTTTCTGTTAGGTACTTTTCCAAGCTACGTTTCCAATACACCAATAACTCTATGCCACTAACTATGGTTTCCAATGTAATAGGCGCTACACACCTTCAGTTTTAAGTGTGCCATTTATTTGTACAGTTAATCTGTACAGTGAAATCGTAGGTCCATACAGCCTACACACTTTCAAGTAAATTTCGCGATCTTTCAGTTTTTATCATGACCTCTGTAGACGACGCTTTTGCGATCGTAGGAACGAATCGAAAATAAACGTCAATTGTGGTGTAAACACTGGCTTCTGTTGAGAAAATCGTATTCACACACGTCTTTTATAAATGAATTGAAAATTAGGTCTAAAATTACAATAATTATTTGATAATGAACGAGAATACCTATTTGCTCCTGCTGTCTTTCTGTAAAGGCGGAGAGCAAGGAAGCAAATACCTGTTCATTTTGTTGTAATATTTAAAATAATGTAATGGCATCTGTATGATGCTGGCAATACTGAACGTTTTAACTTCCTGTTTCCATTTGCGCTTTGCTCTCTTGCTGTGTCTGTGATTGTGTATTATAATAAAACCAGTACATAAAAAAAACAGCAGTTATCCAACAAAGACTTTTATTATAAAAAATAATACACTTCACGCTCGCTGCGACAAAACTGTCAAATCTGCGCAGTTTTCGACTACACACTCACAGTTTTAACTGTACAGTTCTATTTGTACTGATTTACCTATTCATGTTTTGATTAGATCTCAATTTAACTGTACAGTTCAACTGTTCTATACACATTACGATTTCACTATACAGTTTAACTGTACAGATAAATCGCACAGATAAAACTGAAGGTGTCTAGCGCCCATAAGAGATCTTTGTCTTCCTCTTGAAAAAAATATAACAATAACTGTCAAATTGCTGTCATTTTTGGCAGTTTCCCTTCCCTCTTCCACTCTCTACTGGTTTTTATATACATTGCTTTGAACGTTGTTTTATAAAAAATAATTTAACTACAACGGCTTATTTAAGCCTAGATTGGTAGTATTTTAATCAAAATGCAAAAGACATAGATGACCTACATTTACAACACATGATGGAAGCTTCAAGGTAAGTGGATCCTGAATTCTGTATTAAGTAGGCACCTGCAAAGTTCAGTTATTCCTTTCACGAACGTATTTTGATTACAGAGTGGATGCTGAATTAAAAAATAAAATGGCACATTTAGATATAATGGAGGTGGATACTCCTAGTAATGATCCAGCTCGAGAAAAGTCTGATGATGCAGCATCATCTAGAGTTTTAAGAAAAAGGAAATCTCTAATGCCTGAAATTAGCAAATCTAGAAATCGTAGAGTTAGCATGAAACCACGAAAACATATGACTGAAAATGCAAATCCCAAGCAAATTGAAGCTCTTTATTTAAACAAGAAAGTAAAAGCTTTATCACAAACATTGGAAACAATTTATGAGGAACCTAAGACTGATAATTCGCCAGATACTTTGATTAGTGGAAGAAAAGTTAAAAGACTACTTACATTCCAGTTGGGTAATCAATATACAAAAGAAAAAATTAAGAAACGAAGGGCTAAAATCAAAAAACTCCTTGGTAATAAGTCATTTTTAAACAGGAAGAAAATTCCCATGCAAGTGTTTCTTAAAACAATTGAATGTTTAGAATTAGATGAGGTAGTACAAAGTGAGACAAAGATATTAAGCAATGATAATGTCTCATTGACTTAGTTACCTCTGGTAATAACTAAGTGATTTGTGTGAAATTTGGTTATATTGAATAAATGTCTTTGTTTTGCTATGAAGTCGTATATTACCAATCTACAAAATAGTCTTACTATTTTTGGGATCTGACATTCAAAAACATTTAAATCTTGATACTTTTTCTTTATTTGCAACTATGATGCATTTTTCATTCACATTATTTAAAGTGGAATCTCTCTCAAGTGACATGTTTTCATTATATGTAAGATATACAAAGTAATTAATTACTATACAAATATGTTTCACTTTTACAAAACAATCATAATCCAAAGTATTATAATAATATGGTTTAACATTATTGCATTTTTATTCATAAACAAGTACTCAATGGTTATAATTTTTATTTTCTAAGCATGTAACTCTGCTTGATGTTAAAATCTAAAGAAAATATAACTAGAAAAAAAATCATCGCCAACCATTTTCTTTAAGTACTTCATGGTGTCGATTCTGACATGACTCTCTTAACCTAAAGTTAAATTTAGCAACAATGTATCCTTGTCATTCTCTATACAGAATGAAAAGGAGAGACTGATGTTAATTTTATTTTTAAGTTTAGAGAATCATGCCACCATCGACACCAATATTTAACTAAATGATAATTTTATTTATTTGTGCTTTAAAACTAAATTCTTAACACAAAACTGTCAAATTTAACCTATAAGTTCACTGTGTAAAACAATGGAAATCTGGATTTTCTTGTTCATTATTTATTTAGGAATGTACAGTTCTTATTAAGTTTACTAAAACAATACTTAATTAATAAAACACTATTGCTAGGTCTACAGTTATAAAGAATACAATATAAAATAATATTTTTTACACAATACTGCACTTGCATGACACATATATTAATGGTCTAGTTAATCCAAACAACCAGTTAACAATTTCAACAATATCACAACTTCATAGTCCAATCAATAACAGTTAAGTATGTACATATTTCAGTCTCTGATATGACATAATGTAGAAGTACTAGAACAATTATCATATTCTTTGAATAATGCTGCTTGACTATTATTTGTTATATTGACACAAACACAGTGTGGTTTATCTTTTCCTGGTGTATAAAGCTGTCTAGGTACACCAGTCCAGCTTCTTGTTATCCCACCACTAAAAACAAAAATATTTCAATATATTTTATTACTTGCAATCTACCTTGGCTTCGCACAGGTAAACTAAACATGATTAAATAAACATAATATGTTGCTCAGGGGTAAATTGTAGCCACTTGAAGGCATTTTTGAAATGGTGAGAATTTAAGTAAGTTTCTTTACTTAAGTTAATTTATTACAGACATACAAGTCTTTGCTCTTTATAACATTAGTATTTTAAAGCAATATTACTCATGTCACATAGCTACAAGGCTACAACTTAACTTACCTTGATTTAGTACACCAGACAGTAGTGCCCTCCTCAGCACTCCAGGATATGTTACATGGAGGATATTTCTGTTCCTCTTGCTTAGCTTTTTCCTTCTGTTGTTTACAAAGATCTATCCTATCGTTAAATTGATTCATATATTCTGTTTCCTTTCCATTATGGTCAAAATATCTTCCAATAACTTTACCTTCAAAAGTTATAAGTAAATGATTGTTATAAGTATTGCTACTTCAAACTGATGATATTGAAAAACATCTTCCTTACCTACCAACATATCTATATTTTTCTTTCATTGTTTTTTTCCAGTTTAGCAATACCAATAATTCATCACAAGTCAAGTCCAAGATGTGATCCTTATTAGTACTTTCATCCTTAAAATCACCCGTAGTAAATGCTCGTGAACCATCTTTTCCTAAATTAGCAAAACATGTGACATGAGAACTTACTGTATACTTCATTGGTATTTCTTAGTAAAATAATTTATTAAATTGTAGTTAAGAGTTAAGTTAAATAATATATTATTACCCTTACCAACAAAATAATTATATGGTGAGCCATCTCCATAATGTTTTATTCCTTTACTGACATCAAATATAGTGCCGAGTATAGCTAAGTACATCCGATTACCACTAACTCCATTAAATTTAGATAACTGCTCTGGAGTGTAAATAGACTTTCCTTGGGAAAAGTTCTTACTGTTTTGTATAAAATTATTAAAGTAAATTTGAAGTGAATCTCTGTATAGAATTCCAACCAAAACAAAAGCAAAAGATAAAAGAACAATAAATAGCTTTCCCATTATATTATTTAATTTTAATAAGCAATTAAACAAAATATCGCTTCAAATAGCAAGCACAGCGAGCAAATGATTTTTTTTTAAGAATTTCCCTTTTTAGAGAAGGCAAAGGGAACAATGCCCATACAGCCTAGTCTTTAGTTATATTAATCTTCCTTTTTTTTTTCATTAGAATGGCGGTGTGACGAATTCTAATATTTCTGGGAGTATTTGGCACGAAATGTATCAAGTTGGCTTTTTCGATAAGCTTCTGTGAGGTAGTCAACTCAACAGTACAATGAAGTTCTCACGTCCACTTGACCGGAATCGCGCATATTTTATTTCACAATATCCACTTTGAATGAATTTAAGAATAATTAAAATAAGACGCCAACCGCACTCGATGAAATCCCGCCAAAAAGTCTCCTATGACAGACAACCGGACAGACCAACAGAGGAGTCTTTACCTATAGTGCCGTGTAACTTTCTTCTTCAAATTTAATTTCCAAACATTAGAATTTATTATTCATTTTTGAAATTTGACAGTATGCTGTAATTTGATGTTTTACTTGTACTTTGTACCCATTCCATTGTGACTACACGCTTACTAGGGGGCGCTAGGATAATTTTGCACACGGGCGCCACATGGGCTAGAGACGCCTCTGTAGACCAAGGAACTTATATTCTATCTGGAATGCTTACGAAACAATAATATAAGATTTCAAAAAATGTACTCTAACCAGTGTTACATGAATTACATTTTTGTTCCTAACTTCATAAGAAGGAAAAATGATCCGAGCAGGACAACGACGAAAGTGTAGTTTGTCCCTTTATTGCAATTGTCAGTGTTAATAAAAAAATTCAAATGGTAGTTTTCACATTATCCTGATCACCATTAATAAGAACTGGAACATACAGTTTGAAAGTTAAATTAGAATTTATATTTGATTGCAGTTAATTTATTGATATCAATGCAACCAAAAATGAGTTTATTTCTATTTAAACGAATAACATATCTAATAAAATTGTTTAAAATGGTAGTCATTAGTAATAACTTGCATTTATGTATGACGAACACTGGGACCAATTCTGGCGTTACATTCTCTAAACCTAAACTTAAAATTAGAGTGCTAATTTTAGTTTAGGGTTAGAGAATTGGTATTCTGAAATGGCTAACTAACTAAATTAAGAGAACAGTTGACAGCTGTAAACGAGCATCTAAATTGAATTCACAGATTGTGTACAAGCATTGAACCGGTAATTATCGGTTTACTCAAATTAGCAATAATTACTTATTATTCAGTGATTTTGACTTATTTTTTATTTTATTTAAGTAAATCTTTGTTGTTCTTCATCATCTTTGAAATATGAAAACTTAACATAACTTTGTTATTTTACTGTATGAGAAATTATGAATCAATAATATTAAAGAGTGAATACTTGCCTACTCTGTGGTACTTAGGGTTTCTAGATTGGGAGTGTTTATCCTTATTTTGGGGAAAAATAAGAACTTGAAGAAATGTAATCTGCGGGGAGAACTTAAGGAATCATATTTTTTCTTTGAAAAAGCCAAGTATTTACATGGGCTAAACGATGTGACGAAAAAAAATTACAAAGAAGTGCATCGAACGAGCAATTAGGTAGGTACCATTGCGCCGTGATGCAGTCTAATCATTCAGATGAAGTAAATAAGGTAAGTGTACTCGTCCGAGCAAAAACGTTTATTGTTTTGGCACTACGATTGCCCGGCGGCACCGCGCCGGCGCTGTATTCTTGCAACGGGCCGTGGCCGAGCCGAGGCGGGACCAAGTTTTTTCCGAGCGTTGTTTCATTTGTTGCTCGGTTGTCAGTCGGTTACTGCATGACAACCGAGCATATAGCGTATAAATAGCGTGAATGTTATATTTTACATGGATTATGTCCATAATCATCAAATCATAAAATAAATTATTTAATATTAGTTAACTAGAGAAGTTCGATGGCGCAGACGATTAGCTCGTTCGGCTGCGATCGTTGAAGTTAAGCAACTTTCGCAGTGGTCGGTCATTGGATGGGTGACCAAACATCTTCTATGTCGAGTTCCTCGTTCTCCCGGCTGCATCTGCAGTCGTTAGCACCCGCCAATCCGCACTGGGCCTGCGTGGTGGGTCATGGCCTAATCTCTCTATTTCATCCATAGGGAAGGCCTGTGCCCCAGCAATGGGGACATTAATAGGCTGATGATGATGATGATGATTAGTTAACTCTGCTACGGCCGACAGGGTCTAACGTGAACCATCCTTCAAAATTTCTCGCATCGTAAATTCCCAATCCAGCGTATCTATCTAATACCTATAATTTCGGTTTCGGTAAGAGGTTGTAAAATTATCCCTTCGGCTGTTTTGTGAAGATTTTATTCTCATTTATTGTATAATCCGAGATGCGTAACCTATTTTCATCTTTTTTGTTTCTATCAGTTTTTGGCGAGATCATCCCAATTATTCATTTGGTGAAGATGCCCAGTTTAGGATATATAAAAACAAACTTTTCAATTACAAACAGTAGGTACTTATTTCGTGTTTTAAGAAATATGATTAGCTTATAAAAAGTTGGAAATAAATACATTTCTAACTAATAGGTATTAAAACTGCTTCATAGAAACAAAACCACATAAAACAAAGGTACAAATAATACATTAAAGTCTAAAGTACCTACATTTAAAGTCAAAACAACAATTGGATGGAATGCAAATCACTGACACCATACCTCTATTATCTTGTTAATTATTTGACTATGTACTTTAGATGTAAGTAGGATCTGTAAGTATTACTTATAGAATTAGTACATAGATTTTTTACCTTTTTAGGTTGTTTTTATATGAGGGGCATTCCACGTGAAGCGGACAGGTAAAAAAACTCGATGTTTCCGATTTCAGTAATATTTGAGTATGTTCTACTTATACTTATTATTAATACGCGTACCAAATATTTTTGTGATATAATGACTAGTTAAAGAGTAATGGGACTGTGAAGTTTTCGACAACCGGTTGGCATGCAGTACTTCAAAGCCGATTATGGACTCATAAAATTATATATTAAAATAACTAAACCACTGGATTTCCTACTTTATTTACTGGGCTTTTTAACTGTGTTTTTGGAAAAGAAAAAAATATTTTTTTTTCGGAAAAAAAATCCAATTTAAGTTTTTTTCCTTGATTTTCATCAAGTTAGACCATTTACTTTTTTTTTATTTTTTTTTTATATAAATTGCTAATATTGTATAGAACATTGGTGCCAACTTTCATAATGGGCGTGAAAGTGGATTAGGAGCTAGACTGAAAATACTGCCGAAGGGTGGCGTCCAGCGCCGCGCCTGTTGACCGCTGCTTGTACGCGATTAGTCATCAAACTGTATATCAAATAAAATCACTTTTGACGGAATGTTTTGTAGATTTTTAATAAACCAATACATAGAAAAAATTACACGCGGACCAGGCGGCAGACGGGACTCGAACCCGCACCCTTCGCAATCCGGGCGAATGCACTGACCAATTATGCTACCGCGGCCCTCACGGACCGCGTCAAAATTCCTCTAGCCATTCTTAAGCAGCAAGGCAGCGCCATCTCTTCGCATTATAGGTAATCCAAAATGTTATATTAGGGGCCGTTCATAAAATACATCACGCTAAAATCAGCTTTTTCCGACCCCCTCCCCCCCTATTGTCACGCTGTGTCACACTTTCTGTGACCCCTCTTGAAATATTCCGTCACAAAAACGGAGACCCCCCCCCCCCTCCCCAAGTATGATTAATTTTAATATTTAAGATTAATTCTTAATAAGAATGGCTAGAGGAATTTCGACGCGGTCCGTGAGGGCCACGGTAGCATAATTGGTCAGTGCATTCGCCCGGATTGCGAAGGGTGCGGGTTCGAGTCCCGTCTGCTGCCTGGTCCGCGTGGATTTTTTTCAAGTTATATTTTCTTTAGATTTAAACATCAAGCAGTTACATGCTTTAAAGAAATAAAAATTATAACTATAATTGCTATTTCTTCTGTCAAATGTTTAATACTTGTAAAAGTATTCATTTGACATTGTGGGTTACCTATAATGCGAAGAGATGGCGCTGCCTTGCAGCTTAAGAATGGCTAGAGGAATTTCGACGCGGTCCGTGAGGGCCGCAGTAGCATAATTGGTCAGTGCATTCGCCCGGATTGCGAAGGGTGCGGGTTCGAGACCCGTCTGCTGCTTGGTCCGCGTGGATTTTTTTCTATGTATTGGTTTTATTAAAAATCTACAAAACATTCCGTCAAAAGTGATTTTATTTGATTGACAGTTTGATGACTAATCGCGCACAAGCGGCGGTCAACAGGCGCGGCGCTGGACGCCACCCTTCGACAGTATTTTCAGTCTAGCTCCTAATCTAATTTCACGCCCATTATAAAAGTTGGCACCAATGTTCTACACAATATTAGCAATTTATATAAAAAAAAATAAAAAAAAACTAAATGGTCTAACTTGGTGAAAATCAAGGAAAAAAACTTAAATTGGTTTTTTTTTTACGAAAAATAATTTTTTTTTCTTTTCCAAAAACACAGTTAAGAAGCCCAGTAAATAAAGTAGGAAATCCAGTGGTTTACTTATTTTAATATATAATTTTATGAGTCCATAATCGGCTTTGAAGTACTGCATGCCAACCGGCTGTCGAAAACTTCAAAGTCCCATTACTCTTTAACTAGTCATTATATCACAAAAATATTTGGTACGCGTATCAATAATAAGTATAAGTAGAACATACTCAAATATTACTGAAATCGGAAACATCGAGTTTTTTTACCTGTCCGCTTCGCGTGGAATGCCCCATGAAGTGGATTTTTATTTATGTTATATAAGATTTTACCTTAAATTATTTAGTATTTTATACAAGATATACGTGTACATTACCTACGAAAGACCACAATAGCGCAAGTGTAACGCTTTCGTTCTGCGATCGTGAATGTTAAGCAATTTTCACAATGGCCATTCTTAGGATGGGTGACCAACCCAAAATAAATTAAATCGAGTTCCTATGTTGCTGCTCG